GTCCGGCAGGCCATTCCAGAGCTTAGGGGCGACGACTGAAAAAGCCCCTCAGGAGGTAGCCGCAAGCCTCGATTTCTGAGGCTGTAGTAAATTCCTCCCGGAGGACCGAGGAGTTTCTCTTCCTTTCCAGAATCCTGCTTGGACCTCTGGGATTTTTCTCTCCATGTATTCTTGGAGTCTATGATGCAGTATTTTGAACATAATTTTCATTTCATGGGAGATTAGTGCTATGGTTCTATAGTTGCTGCAGTCTCTTGTGTCTCCTTTTTATGGATGGGGATATATATTGATCTTTTCCAATCTGTTGGCCATTGCTTTGTTTTCCATATCTGTTGACATATGTTGGTTAGCACTAGAGTTGACTCTGTCAATGTGGATTGCAACATGCCACATACATACATTTTTTCTTTTTAGGTTTTGCAAAAACTGTCCAAATATGCTCAGTAACAGAGAATTGTGGCTGTCACTTAGTGGGTAAGGGGAGGAGGTGTTTAAAAAAGGATAAGAAGAATGGAGTGGATTAGTTGAAATTGTGCACCAGGAATACAATTCTTCAGTATTTCAGTTTGCATATTCCAATGTGTATCCATAGTGGGCTGCATCAATTCATCTTGTCTTTGTGCTCCCTATCTAAGAGATGTCTGTCAATGGTTGCAGAGATAAATAGGAGCAGAAGTTCAAAATGTTGCTAAGAAACTGGACTGTGCTGACAACCAGCAACTTCATATTATGCTCCTTTTTTTCTATCATGGATGGATTCTTTTAGAAATGTTGTTAGTTTCAATATATCAACAATCTCCACAACTGTGTGTGGGATTGCATCACTTCTTGTAGCACAGATAAGTTTCACACAGTTATGAAATCAAATATCTCAAGGATATTCTGAGTTTAAAGGGTAATAACTTGGAACAGGTTTAAATAAACTGAGGACAAAAGCCAAGAAGCTGTTAACAGAGAATATAGACATTACTCAATGGAAAAAAATCACTCAGATATTATTGGATGCATAATTCAATGGTGTCTTATTCCTCTATTTACTTTCTTTTCCAAAACTATCAGTTTCTTTAGATGTGATAGTAACTCCTTTCAAACCAAAAATATTTTTGGTATGATATATTTTAGGAGCCATTGTGGTGTAATGGTTTAAGTATCGGACTATGACTCTGGAAACCAGGGTTCAATTCCCTGCTTGGGTGACTTTGGGAGAGTAACAAACTCTCAGTCCCAGTAAACACCATGATAGGTTTACTTTAAGTTAGAAATGACTTGAATGCCCCAACAACATGATACTTTTATAGTCATTTCTCTCTACTTTTGTCACTTTTCACACTTATTGAGGTGGCTATGTGTCGTACTTTAGACAGTACAGTTCTATGTCTGAAAGGGCTTCAGAGGATAGTCCTGTGTCTGAAGGGCTGTGAACTCCAAATTCAGGGTAAAGATAAAGGGAGAGCAAGGGTCTTGATATTTGTTGTTCTGGGTCTTCTGCTATGTTCAACTTGGCAACATCATGTAGAATTCTGGATTTGTAGTTTAGGGAGAACCATTCAGAATTCTCAGCCAGAAAGTTTTTCTGCCTCACCAGACTACAAATCCAAGGCTCCACAGCAGGGGTAGGCAACTTTTCCCCTTTAAGGGCTGAGGGACTTCATCTCCTAGAATCCCAGGAGCTATTGGCCAACATGGGACTTGAATTCTGGGAGCTGAAGTCCCTCGGCTCTTAAAGGGCAAAGGTTGCCTACCCCTGCTCCACAGTTTGTAGCTGTGGTAGTTACAGTGGAATCATAATGCTATAGCACTATAATAAAGGCCCCTGACCTAAAAAACAAAACCAAGCCAAACCCTGAGCAGTCACCTACATCACCTGGTTGCACTCTTCAGCTCCACTAAAGTGAGAATATTATACTGTTATTTTCAGTACAGTAATTATTTCTAAATTTAAATGTATCCATATAATATGCATATAATATGCATATAATAATTTTATGCAAATGTTTCTTGTTTCTGTCCTTTTTTTGTAATGCATCTCCTTTGTGTGTCTGTGGGGAAAACAATGCCTTTCTACTTCTTAAACATGCCTGAGGTTGCTGCCACACTGCAGAAATAATTCAGTTTGACACCACTTTAACTGCCATGACTCTATTCTATGGAATCCTGGGATTTGTAGTTTGTTATGGCAGCAGAACGCTCTGATAAAGAAGGTTAAATATAAAACTACAAATCCTGGAATACAACAGCAGCTGAGCCATGGCAGTTAAAGCAGCATCAAACTGCATCTAATCTGCATTGTGGATGCCTCCTTAGAATGGTCTCCTAACAGTTCTGCATTCCAGTGGCAGTGGGTGCTTTGTGGGAGACAGCAGGTGAGCAGAAGCCAGGCCAAGGGAACACAGGGGAAGGACTGAGGGGTTACCCACTGTAACAGTTAAAACATTTGCGGAGCAGCAAGACATTTTGAAAAGGAATGGCAAAGACCTATGTCTCCTTTTTCATTAGTGGTTAGAAGAAAATAGCAACTTGTCCTCTTTAGGTGGTGAGCAGGAGAACCTGGGGGGAGGGGGAAGCAGCTGATAGCTTTTAAAAATATATAGTCAGACCTCTCTATGCCCATGAATTTTTTTATTCACATATTCAAGCAGCCACCACTGAAAAGTATTTTTAAATGTATAAATTCCACAAAGCAAATCTTAATTTTGCCATTTTATATAAGGAACACCATTTTACTATGCCATTGTCTTTAAAGGGACTTCAGCATCTAGGTATCTACAGATGCTGAAGTCCCTTTAATCTAGGTATCTAGGTATCCACAGGGGTTCTGGAAGCAACCATCAGTGGATAACAAGGGCCCACTGTACTTTTCTGCCAGTGGGCCTTGCAGCAAAAGTATTTGGGGGGGGGTATGCTGGGGAAATTGCCTTTTTAAAAAATGTAGTCAGACCTCTCTATATCCAAGCAGCCACAGTTGGAAAATATTTTTTAAATGTATAAATTCCAAAAAGTGTGCTTGTAGAGGACCTTTAGAGGTCAAGGTGTTTAATGATCTCAGTATTTTGCACCTGGCTATAGTGATATAGCAAGACACTTCTCTGATGCCCTTTCTCTCCACTGGCCACTAAATGGCCATAGAGTGGATGCTGTAGCAGCTAAAAAGTTAGTCCTGGAGGGGGTGAGAGGGGAGATGTATCACAATACCACCTGGGGGGAGGATTTTTTGAGACATTGCCCAATGTAGGATCCCAGCCTCCATTGGGATCCAGATAGCATCTTTAGGCTTCCCTTTGGTGAGAAAACACTCTGATGTTCTGATAAAATTGCTATATATGAAAACCTAGGGGCAGACACTGTGGTACAGCCTCTGGATCATGAATGTAGCCCTCAGAAAGTGACTCCTCAGCTAAAAGTCAAAAGTTGCCAATTATCATTGTTTGCTAAGTAAGTACAGAGAAAAATATGTTCTCAAGTCTCTATTTGTATGAAACAAACCTTGAAATTAGAAGTCTCCAGCAATATACAAAAACACACAAACCTCTAAAATGTGAGTACTCCAGGCATCACTGTATGTTTGCAATACAGCAGTGGAAAATAACATGTTATTGAAGGCTGATTCTTGGGACTTCAGTTCTCAGTTCATCACCTCCCCCCCCCACACACACACACAATACTTTAAGAGCAATCTAGAGAGCAATTTTCTCCATTACTCTGTGAAGAAATTACCTGCAAAACTGGAAGTATTAGCAGCCATTCCACTCATTTAATAAAAATCAAAATGTAGGTAAGAAAATTATGCCTGTTCGTGGCATGTTCAGATAGCCCAAATTAATGAAGACACTATCTTGCTTCTTCCTCCCTGGCATATTTCACAGCTAGAATTATCAGAAATAAAAATAACAGCCAGACAACAATACAAGCATAGTTGTTAACACTTCCCAAAGTCTCAACCAAGACCCAATTTTTTATCTGAAAAAAAATGGATATAAGGTATGATATAAGATATGCTAATATTATATGAATAATGAACATAATTTGAACTGTTGTTAATAAAAGATCCCAACACTAAATGATTGTCTTCTAAACATTGACAACATTACTATGGATGACTTGATGCCTATGTTAACTCTTGTTTTTGTTAAATATCATCAAGTCGACTTTGACTTATGGTGACTTTGACTTATGGTTATGCTGAGGTGAGGTGTGAATGATTTTTTTTTTAATGTTCATCTGTAAATTTGCCTTTGAACTTTCTTCAGTAAACATTCCAAGTCTTTGCTGTTTTTTGCTAGCAATATGGTGTCATTTGCTTATCTTAATTTTTTGATGTCTCTTCTAATTGTTATGCCTCTTTCCTCTAAGTCTAATCCTGCTTGACATACAATATATACATAAATGTTCAACAGATAGGGTGATAAAATGCTCCCTTGCATGACCCCCTTGTCAAATGGAAACTTCAATTTCTCCACCTCTTGTTCTGAGTATGCATTAAGACAATCAAATGTTGTGGCACAAAGTTTGAGCACAAAAAGTGATCCAGAGTTTTTCATGATCTATGCCAGGGGTAGGCAACCTAAGGCCCGGGGGCCAGATGCGGCTCCCTGAGGTCTTTAGGCCAGTCCTGCCGCTGCCACCCACCATGATGATATTGATTATTGTT